AGAGTTTGATGGCAAGGATTGCAACCAAGCCCAAGCTCTGTCTCTCAATGAGAAAGGAAAAAGGCGTAGTCTTATCGCGTCTGCGGATACACCATTTGCCTTCGTTGTGTCTGCGTACTGCACAAACTTGGTCAAATGTTCATTGGAATCTTCTGTAGGGTTTCCAAAAAATTGATTTTGTTGAACTGCAGACAACAACGAGGGTTTCAACTCAAAATCGTTTCGATTGATAGCAGGTGCAAAAATGTTGTTATGTGGTTCTTGCTGAGACGGGGTAGCATAGTACTTAAGAGGACGATTTTTTGGTCTGTCTCCCATGTCTTGGTTAACTTCAGATTTAGCTTCAGATTCTGATTCGGATTCTGAGTCAAAATCAGGTTCGGTTTCAGATTCAGGTTCTAAACTAGGAAAAAGGATTTTGTGGGCTTCGCAGTATTCTCGGATACGTATTCTTACGGTAAGAAGAAGTTTAGGTTCGTCTGTCAGTCGTGTGAGGTTCTCGCCTTGTGAGCGAGTACTTGGCATACAATCGGTAGATGGGGAAATAAAGGTTTTGCCTTAGTCTATACGGCGCAACAAAGGAGTTACGATATCAACTTAATTAGTCCCCAGCAACGGTGCCAAAAACTTGATCGCAGTTTAGTGTGTTTAAATTAATTTGACTGCAAGTATACAGTTGTGTCGCGTAGTTTTAATAGATTATCGATCCACAAAGACTAAAAATCGAACGTACCGTATTCTAATGTTACTATGTAAATCTAAGGCTAATCGTTTTAGGAAAGTTAAGTGCGAATGAACTTAAATCTAAAAAAAAATACTAAAATTTCTAATAAGAATAATCAATAACGGGATGTCAGTATGCAACCCATCAATCGTCGGGAATTTAATAAATAATCGATGTAAGTTAGGTTGTTCAAAATACTTTTTATTAGAAAAATACTTATTTAAAAATCCTTACCTCACACTCTAGTGTTTATTGATTCAGACTATATCGTTAAATTAAAATGAGCGCTCTCGCTGTATCATTCAAATTTAACGATACCTTTTGAAAATAAATAAGTCCTAATTAATTCTAAAGTGCTTCCGCCGTGTTTAGAATTAATGCCTAATTTCAGCTATCAGGTTAAAACCTCAAATTCTCGTTTATCTTGACCTTAACCTTAGTTTCCCCTTTTTACTCTTGCAAGAAAGGTTGATTGATTAAAATAAGAAACTAGAGCCTAAAAAATTATTTGTAAAGAAGAACAACACCGATTATTATTTAATCCCTTCTGACAGATTTGTTACATACTGACATCAACTAATTTAGCCAAATATGGTGGGAAAATTAAACAATCTAATAAAGCGCGAAATAGAAATAATAATCATGATGCAATACGATAAATAAATAACAGAATAATCGAAACCTGGAAAGTGGAATTAACTGGAAATAACAGTTGGATACAAGCTTGATGTAGCAATTCTGGCAAGCTTCAAATAGGTCCAAAACTAATTACTATGGTACGGAAAAAATAACAAAAAAAAGTATTGCGCTAATGCTAGAATGAAAACTGAAATGGACTAATTTTTCGTGAAAAATCTCGGACCCCTATTTTGGAGGGTTTCTGTGGTATTTATACTCGGTACAGGAGGAGAAGGAATCGCTTCAAAGTCCTTGATAACCGTCCAGAAACGTGGGAGTGGAACTGGAAAATAGGGGAAGTGGGAGAATATTTCTCCTCACTGATAGGCGGCTTGCGTCACTTCCCCCTTTTCCACATGTGGCCTGCGCCACCTTTTGTTCTTGGTGGTGGGCGCCACCTTTAATGTGGCTCGAGCCACATTTGTGGTGGTGGGCCCACCCTTTTTTATTTTCTTTTCTTTTCTTCTTCTTTTTCTTTTCCTTTTCTTTCTCTTCATTTTCTTTTCTTTTTCTTTTCTTTCCTTTCCATTTTCTTTTTGTTTTCTTTCCTTCCCATTTTCTTCTCATTTTCTTCACTTCTTAATTCTTCACTTCGAAACGAGTACTTGAGAAACACAAACAAATACGAGTAATATAAAGCATAAATAGAGGGAAAATCAAATAAAATATAATATAAACTCATGCATGTCAAGTCAAATACACGATATAATTTCGCGTTATCAAGCATCAGGAACATGCTTGTAGCAAATAGAACCAAACACCTTCAAATGACTCACTGATGGTCATTTTCGACTCCATACTTCTTCATGAATCTTGTTCTTCAATTTCATGGTAAGGCACTTGTTCAATATATAAACAACAATAGTAACTATTTCACCCTATAAGGATTTTGGCAAGTTCTTTTATTTTAACATGCATATTGCCATATCCAATATGGTCTGGTTTCTTTTGTCTGCTATTCCATTATGTTGAGGTGTGTAAGGAGTAGTTACCTCATAGTCAATACCGTTTTCTACACATAACTCTTCAAATAACGGATGTGTATTCACCAACTCTACTTGTTCGCGGAACCTTGATATTCTTTTCACTATGTTTTTTTACAAGCATTTTGGATCTCTTAAAGATTGAGTATATTATGTCTTTGCGCCTGATCAAATGGATCAAAATCTTTCGATATACTCATCAACAAATGAGACAAAATACACGTTTCTACCAATGATATGATCCTCAAATGGGCCATATACATCTGAATGTACTAATTCTAGTATGCAGAAGGATCTTATTGGCATAGTCAAAATGAAATACTTTTTGGATTGCTTCTCTACTAAGAAACATTCATATAGTTTGTTGGGCATCATAAGACTTGGTATACTAGTCACCATAGCTTGAGTAATCAGTTGATTAAGTGACCTATAATTCAAATGGCCAAACCTCAAATGCCACAACTAGTACCTCAATCGAACTGGTCATGGTCTTAAATGTCACATTCTTCGACAAAGAAGATTTTAAGACCAAATTTTTCTAGGCGTAGAACAATTTTAAGGCCCCGTCTTTCATAACCAAAGAGAAACCTTTTTCGACCAATTGTCAAACACTTAGTAGATTGTACTTTATACGAGGTATATAAAGTACATCTTGGATCATATATTTTGCTCAATTACTCCTTGAATGACTATATTGTTAGTACATTATGCTTGCAACGAGCTATCATCTGAAATCCTGGCCTTGTTCTTCTTCGACTCGTCGAAATTTGCTAACCATACTCTTTGGCCAGTCATGTGATTCAAGCAACCCATGTCAAGAAACCAACTCTTAAAGTCAACCTGCTTATCTACAATTGCAACCATAAGCACCATACCATCAGAATCATCTGAATCTTGGTGTGCAAGGTTTGCTCCTTCATCATCCTTGCATTTTATCGCTCACTTGTCTTTCTTGTACCAACAATTCTTGGCCAAATGGCCCCATTTTTCACAGTTGTAACATTGCACACTTTTCTTCTTTTGTTTGTCTTTCTGATATGAGATTCCTTTTCCTCTTTTTGAGGATTCAGAAGCCCTATCATAACCTTTTATGCTTTTGAGGATTCACCAAAAACTTCTTACTCTGAGTCTTGTCTCGTTTGCCCTTGAACTTATTGGAACCACCATTATATTTCCATGTTTGGGCCTACAATGCTTAAATCAAATATTGAACCTCTTTCCTCTCGACAATCCTTAACTCATGTGCCTCCAACAAACCAACCAAACATTTGAGTTTCAAGGTTTCAAGATTGTTGGATTCTTGAATGGCTATGATAACATGATCAAAGTGAGTGGTCAATGTATGTATTACCTTCTCAACTATCATCTTATTAGTTAGGATTTCACCATAACCTTTCATGAGACGAACAATATTCTACACCTTAGAGACATAACCCGCAATCTTTTCATGTCCCATCTGCAGTAACTCATACTGCCTTCGCAGTGTCTGCAATTTGAAAACTTTAACCTTCTCACCACCTTCATAATTCTTGATGAGAATATCTGATAAATGGTTTTCGCATCATTTTTATTAGTTGTTTTACTTCGTTATTTTCTCTTTTTAGTCCAATTTACTTTCGTTTATCATGTTTTATGCTTTTGTAGTGTGTTTTTTGTTATTTTCAGAATTTAATAAGTATCTGAGACAAAAGAGGAACAAAAACAAGTAAATTGCGAGAAAAAGTCAAAAGTTGGAAATTCTCATTACAAAATTCAAAGAGGTGCTACGGGTGGGCGTAGCACCTGCTATAGACAGTAGCAGCCAACCCTAACTCCCCTTCTTTTGATGTGCCAAATACAAATTTCCAAGGGCCTACTATAGGTCGTAGCAGACAAGCGTGTTTTCTCCGGATTTGTTTTCTTTTTCGGCTCGATTGCTTTTGTTTTGAATTTTTTTGCATGTTTGGATATGAATATTTTATGATGCAATTAACATTAATCACATAGATTTATTCCACCTTAAGAATTTTGCATAAAACTCATAGGTAGTCTTGAGTTTGAAAAATTTAATTTTTGTTCTATTTTCACATATTTGACTTTTTTAAATTCTGTATTTAAGTCTTCATTGGAACACTGAATCAAGTTTAATTTAAAGTAAGACTTAAATGGACTTTGGATCCCCTAGTTTAAAGTAAGACTTAAATGGACTTTGGATCCCCTAGTTTGATGTTTTTACATCCTTAATTTGAAGAAAGTTTTATGCATTCAATTATTCGTATGAATTGTAACGCTGAGAGAAATGAAAAAAAAAAATATTTTTACCAAAAGAAAATTATTTTATAGTGTTAATTAATTTTTTTTTTATAAAATTCTTTTTAACATCAAAATAATTTATTATTATTAAAAAGCGGACGGAGTATATGATAGACGTTAAATTCACATGTATACCGGAAGCATTTTTTATTTGTAGAAAACTACTCATGAATAAATACGCATTCATCACCTTAGTGAAGTTTCAATATCCCAATTCAGTCCCTTACCACACCTAGTTTTCTCTTCTCCTATAGACACCGTAGCTCACTGAACCCTACCGGAGTAGGAGGCAGCGCCGCCATTGTTTCAGATCGAAAGAAAAAATGTGGAGGTCGATACTTGCAAGACAAAGTTGCGCTATTCTTCGCAACTACAACGCCGCATACGCCTCACCGATTCAGGTTCCTCTCTCTAATTTCGCAATAAACTCCACACAATCAACTATTTCTTCTTCCTTAGGTTCTCCTCAAATTTCACATTTTCCCAACGTTATTAACAATCCTAGATTCTTATCTCAACAAATTGCCACTGAAAATGAGGTTCCCGTCGATTCTCATTCTTCACAAAACGAAGATGGTACTGTTCACCTCGTGAATGATGATGTCAGTTTTCAGAATGACGAACACGGTTCTGTAGAAGTAGTAGAAGAAGAAGAAACGGAAACTTTCCAGATTGATGACGAAAAATTGGAGAAAATTGTTTCTCTTCTGCAGAGTAGTGCTGATGAGTCGTTTGAGTCTTCTCTTGATAACATGAATTTGACTATACGTCAAGATTTTGTTATCAAAGCAATTGAATCAATCGAAACTGTTTTAGGGGAGAATCTTGTGAGGTTTTTCAAATGGGCTTGGACTGAGAATTCACATGTAGTAACCACCCAAGTTCTAGAGTCTTTTGTTATCACAATATGCAACAGTGGTCGTTCAATAAAGGACAAAGATGTATACTCTCTCTTGGATTTGGTGAATGAAATTGGGGAGAAAGAAATCGGGGTTATCAATGTTACCATTCTTAATGAGTTAGTGACTTCATTCTCAAAATTGGGGAAAGGGAAAGCTGCACTAGGTGTATTTGAAAAATTTGAGGGGTTTCAGTGTGTACCGGATGCAGACACCTATTATTATACAATTGAAGCTCTTTCAAGGAGATCGGACTTTGATTTGGCTTGGTCTGTGTGTCAGAAGATGCTTGATGCTCAGAGAATTCCCGACGGTGAGAAAATTGGTAGAATATTGTCTTGGTTGTGTAAGGGCGAAAAGGCTAAAGAAGCTCATGCAGTGTATATGGCAGCAGTAGAGAACAAGAGGTATCCACCTTTGTCTTCTGTTAACTTTTTGGCTTCTCATCTATGTCATAAAAATGAAACTGTACCACTGGCTTTGGAGGTGTTGAATGATATCCCTGTCGAGAGGAGGAAGCGGGCAATCAAGCCGTTTTCAGCTGTTGTTCGAGCCTTGTGCAGGGTTAAAGATGTTGATGCAGCCAAGCAGTTGGTTTTGAAAATGATTGCTGATGGCCCACTTCCTGGAAATGCTGTTTTCAATTATGTCATTACTGGTTACTCTAAAGCTGGGGAAATTGAACAAGCAGTGGAGATTTTGAGGTTACTTGAAAGTAGGGGTTTGAAACCAGATGTGTACTCATACTCTGTTATTGCTAGTGCTTATTCGAATGGAGGTGAGATGGAACAGGCTAGGAAGATCTTGGAAGAAGCTAAAAAGAATCATTTAAAATTGAGCCCTGTAATGTATCACACTCTAATCCGTGGATATTGCAAATTGGAACGATTTGATGAGGCTTTGGAGTTGTTGTCCGAGATGAAGGATTTTGGTGTATGTGCTTCTGCCGATGAATATGAGAAGCTAATCCAGTCTCTCTGCTTGAAGGCTTTGGATTGGGAAAGAGCAGAAAAGCTGCAAGAAGAAATGAAAGAAAAGGGGTTATATCTCAAGGGCATCACTAGAGCCCTAGTTAGAGCTGTCAAGGAAACGGAAAAGGAGGCTGTGGAGGCTCAAAGCAGTAGTTTAGTGGCCTAAACATTATGCAGTGCGATGTTAACGTGAGAATCCTGGTATTTGTAATTCTTTTGTTGTTAGGTTACACAGTTTCCATGCCAAAAACTATTGTAGGAGAAATTTTCATAAGTGATTGTTGATGAGTTTGATATCTAGTATACCCAGGTTTCTATATTTTCGCTAATTAATCTTGGATAATAACAATACATAGCACTTATATTGAGCCACTTAAGTGCTTCTTTCTTGTGGATTTCCTTTGAAACATATGCTCATGGATAAGTGATGCATGTAATGTAATAAAAACTTCAATCTTCTTAAAAGGACTTTTCCCCTTTTTTTTTTCTTCATGTCCTCTATATATTTTGATATGTCTAATATTGCACGTTCCATTTTCAGCTTCATGTGTATTCTATGAATAGCTATTAGGATGTAGCTTAGAGTGTAACATAGTAATTTAATTGCGAAAAAGCTGCATAAATGCATCTGCAGGAAGTATACTCTTGCACACAGTTAAAGAGGAATACATTCTTTTTTGCTCTTTTAGGTCTCCTAATGAATTTCTCTTTATTACTTTTGGTCGTACCTGTATATGGTCATAGCCTGTATTGTTTGGAGGGAAGCACAAAATCTGTATCAGTATGGCAAAATGGAGTTGTTTGGATTGGCACTATGGCACAGATTCAACTCTCGCTCTCTTAACTCTGCAATTCTCGCGAACCCTAGCGCCCGTCTTCTCACTCTTTACTAACTCAAGTTCTCATCAATGTTCCTTGTGTTTTGAGTAGTTTATCTTGATCATCCATTTGTTTCTTCATGTATGTGGTTTTTGCTAGTTTATTCACATTCCTTGTATTCATTTATGATTTCTGATGGTATTCATCTGCGTTCTGTGTATTTTTGCTTGTTCTTGTGTTCAATCTGCTTGTTTACTTGTTACTAATATTTTGTTGTGATTTTGCTTGTTATTGTTGCCTGTTCTTGATTTTCTTGCTTATCCTTGTTAAATGTAAGACACTTCACATTTGCAGCTAAAGTAATATTTCTTCTCAAATGAAGCAATTGCTTCCTTCTAAGCATTAGCGTTAGAACTCAGTTAGCTTCTTTGATTAGGAATAAACCACAAAGTTATGGTCAATGGTTTGTGTCAACCACCAATTTCTCATCTTCATGAGTATGAATCGAAGAGTCAATTAGAGAAATATAGTTGCATATGAAAGATACAGATTCAGTTACTTGGTCTGCTTTCATATGCAATAAGGTTCCGAAGAATACTTCCATTTGAGTAATGGTAAGCAACTGTTATGATACCAATAGAGAAAAGCCAAGTCATTAAAGTGGAATCAATCAAGTTAGTTAGAAAGAAAGGGACACATGTCACTTGATCCAATAGTTAAAGGGATATTATTAATTAGAAATTGTTATAAAGAGAAAGGAGGAATGATGTTAAAGGCATGAAAGAAATTATGGAAACTCTATATTCTCTCCCTCTGGAAATTCTCCCTTCCTTTCTTTCCACAACTTCTGTACGTTATCTTTTCTATTTCTTCAATTGGATGGATTCCATGATATGGTTAATTTGATACAGTTTCATTAAATCAAATTGTACAAGATCCTTTCACTCATATTGAAATCAACTTATTTTATGCAATTAATCACAATGCTTACATTGGTGCTTTCATCCATCGCCATGGCGAATGATACTCGTATGAACGGTTTGGAGGCAGCCATCCAAAGTCTCAATGCAACATTGAAGAAATTTATGGAAGATGAAGTAGCACGCTATACCGAGTATACGCCAGTCACGCTCAGCTGATGTCTTGTGTATGGATCACGTTGAGATGCAATTGGTTGCACTTCAAGTAAGTTCCGCTTCTAATGGCGGTTTGAACTCATCTATGCAACCTCTGCTGAATCAACCATTTCAGATTCTTACATGAATGATTGGAATATTGCAAGAGGAGATTGATGCTCCATAATTGGTTAGATAATCCCGATTTGTTATCTTTGTAAATATGTGGTTCAACTCACTTTTGAAAGCCCACTTAGACACTGTCATTCTTCTCCCATCATCAAATCTTTTGCCAATTCTTGTTTGTGCTTTTGTCATTGCCCCAATCGTGTCTGCCCTTTTATCCGGTTACCAATTCAAGGCTATGTTTTAATGGGGGATCATCAACACATTTGGTTGAGAATATCTTTCTAGTAATGGTAATCATTAGTGAATTCGTCCAAGATTATATTGGCATCTATGTGGATTGCCAAGTACATTTTTATTACTAATTCATTGGCTTTGCATTTTAACTTTGTGTTTGTTCTTCTTGCTTGACAAGCTTTTTGACAACGGTGATGGTCGTTGTTGGAGGCGAAATGAAAATTTGATGTTTGCTTTTGGCCATAGGTCTGTTGTGCACAGATTCCGATGCATAAGCTTTGGTTATATGAGTGTCACAAGAGTTCAAGAGGATGTTTCAGTTTGTTGAGCTTAGAACCGGTTACGGGCTAGCAACCAGTCAGAGGGGATTGGGAAATTTTTGGTTGGAAATGACCATTGGTAATGGAATCCAAAGTCTAGTGTCACAAACATCACAATCCCATAAGCCATATATTACCTACACTCTAAGAATTATGGTCTCGAAAATGAAAGCAGTGTTATCATGTAATGCTTTGGAGGACAAAGTTCATCTAGGGGGTAAATGTATGATTTTTACTAGCCTTCAAAACAGACTTAAGAGAAGGTCTGACCTTGCCAAGGAGATTATTTCAAAATGCCATAAAATTCACTTAGAGATTTCAGTTTCTGACTGGAGAGTGTTTGGAAGTTTCTTCACAAATAAAGTTCAACTATATACATTTGCTGAGGTTTTCTTATCTATGAGATATGGACATGTAACCTTCAAGAATTTGCCTAATATTGTTGAGTGTGGCACAATCACAGGCTAGCCTACTGTGTCATGGTAGTAGGGACACACATATGCAAATTTTGGGGTGGAAGGTTACCCTATCTCATTGGTTGTCTATGGTGATAGTGATGCACAAAATTGTTTTGCATTTTTGTATGAATTTTCTTTAATGCCTTATTAAAGTTAGTGACATTTTGCGGATCCACAATAGGTAATAATATAATTTACACTTATGACTAATTGAATAGCGGATTCTCAACATTTCTCTTAGTAGCTTTATAAGGTTGCAGTGCAGGCGTGCAGCTTCCCAAATTTTTAGTGTGTTTTCGGGGCATTGAATTGATAGCAACAAGAAAGTTTGCTACTGGTTTTCTGTTTTTTCTGCAACTTGATTGCAGTGTCTTCAATTTAAGTTTGTGCTGAATAATATTGAAATTCAGGTTTAAGTTACAAGAAATTGATTATTCAAACCATTCAAGTTGGTTCAACAGATTGTAGGTTTAATTAGAAATATGAAGTTTACCTGGTTGATCCGCACATATGAAGACTCATGCACACTATTCATATCTTTTTTTTTGTTATACTCCTACTTCATTTCATCTTGGTCATTGCTATTTGCTACTAACCTTGCAATACTATTTCAATTGATATTTTATGTCTCACATCTACTGTTTTGACAGAATGTTAGGTACAAGTTAGAAACAAATTTGGCTAAAAAAAAGGTTAGAAAAAAATCAATGAGAAAACTAAATTCCTAACCTGTAACTTTTCCCGACTGAAAACTATGATTATTTTCTCTGGAAAGCTTTAAAAAAAAAAGTTGTTGAAACTTAAAAGTGACCAAAACATGAGACAAGAATCCCGTTTGGCCGCAACATGAAAAAACGTTGCATGAAAAAGGACTTACCAATTTGGCTATTTCTAGGTGCTGGTGGTGCTATTGCGCAATCATTGGGCAACACATTGGTATATTCTAAAAAATGAATAGAAAAGTTGTTCATTATATTCTATATGTTATTTTTTTCAAATTTTGAATTTCAAAAATTATCTCTCGTCTAGTTCAGATAGTAAAATTTAATCTGAGTGTATCTTATATGTTTGTTTGGATAATACTTGAATTGTAATAACTTTATTCGGGCCTAAAAGAGATCAACCCATCACATTATGACCTGAGAATGATATAAGAAGAGATTGGATGTGAAAGAGCGGCGTCACATGATAAGTACGTGATGTCATCCAATCCGGCCCAATACATCTGGTTTAATCCAACACACTCTTACCCCGAGCCATATAAGGGCATGGCATGCCATATATTTGGATAAGTGCAATGCCCACCTATTTAGGAAGGTGACTACTCTTCCTATTAAAGGGGGACTCATTTCTCCTATCCCCACGATATGGGTGGGTGGCTAGGTATTCGAACCGACTCCTTAGCAACAACTTGGCCAAAAGGCCAGGTCTATACATATCCCTATCGCATGGTTGAAAAACATCAAATATTTTTTTACATATTAGAATCTAAAAAGGCCATATTGCACATCTCATCTTTGCCAGGGTATTCTTTATTGTACTTAACACAAGTGCAGTTGACGTCCATTGTAGGGCCTGGTCAAACTAACATGAATCACACTTTCATCTAAAATTTCAATTGTCATAATCATCCTTCTGTGATGGTGAGACGAGGCAATGTCAGCAACAATAAAAATGATGATGAACCCATAACGGAGGTGCATAATGATATGGAAGAATTGTGTCGCAACAATGAAGCTATGTAAATCAACATTATGCACTTTCAGCAACAACGACCAACTAGAGGGCGACGAAGTCCTTAGTCCTTAGCCTCTCTCAAACGAACTCTGGGATGCTCTTGTACTAGAAAAGCGTTAGCCCCCGCCCATGATAGCCTTCAACGAAAAGAGTGATCTATAAGAGCACATCGTTTCATAAACACTCAGATGGAAATAATAAACTCCACTAACTCTTTGAAATGCAAGACCCAATCTGGTATGTTTAAGGAGGCAGCATCGAGGTGGTACATGAAACTCCCTACATTGTCGGTGACTAGCTACCAAGACCTTTCGGAAAAGATAATTCATCAACTTTTGACGAGTAAACATTGAA